CTATACTGGGGTCCATGACTTTGGACCCTCAGGACGTCAATAAGCTTGGACTCAAGGCCATACTCGATTTCGATAAAAAGGCGAGGCTTGTGATCTAAGGAATGTAGAGATGCATACTCACCCGTTTTAGTGGCCTATGCACTGGCTCCTTGTGGTGGCCGGAATGTCTCTAATTTCACGATTCAACAATAGTAGAAAAATGCCTTAATGAGCTATTTGAAGGATTAATAGAATTGGGAAATGGGACCTGACGATACCTTTACCATTGCAATAGAAATTATAAACCCCAAGCTTCCCACAGTTTTGTTTCGAAATTATTTGGTATTAACAAAAACACTTCAAAATAGTGTTTATTTTAGATGCTCCTTGTCAAAAAATTCTTCAAGAATGTCAAAGCAGCATCTTGTTAGGCCTCCCAAGCCGAGTAGAGGATTCTACAAACGTTATAATTCCGAGACCTTTGAGCCCCTCGAAACATCAGAAAGTCTCAACACCTTCGCATATCCTAATCAACTTGCAAAAATGCAATGAATTTCCACTTAAAACGTTTTTCTGCCGCTATGCAGTTAATAAATAGTTTTACAGTAAGAAGCGTGAGTGTTATCTTATTGCAACGCCCATAAAATTATGTCATAAGCGATACACTAAGCAAATAGAACATATTTTACAACAAACAGATGTAATTGTCTTGCAAATAGGAGAGCTGCTGAACTATAAATAAATCACATGATTCACACCAGCACAGAGCAGCGTTAGTGCAATAAACTTTGTCTTTCAACGATACTGCTTTAAGCGTACATTAAATCGTTTTTTTTTTCTGAGAATTCAATTAAGTTTTTATGTTTTCCTAATGGTATAGTGCCCGTAGTAGTAAATATACCGTGATGAAGGAGCTGCTTTACATTTAAACATTGAGTAATTTGTATATTCCAACTAGTTCGATGCCGATGTAAGCGTGGACACTAATACATTCCGAGATATAGGCTTCAAAAAAAGGTAGTGTCCATATAATATCCATAGTCCATATTCTGCCACCTGGTAGAAATAAACTGTAACATATTGTCACTGACATTTTGTACCTTGACAAATCGGATGTTCCAAAACACAGTAATATAACAAATTTTTGTGATTTTTTCAAAAACCTTAGTGTAATGAGTAAGTCATCTTATTCTCCAAAACGTATTACAAACCATCACGTTACAAACTGGTCTGTGTAATAGCCTACGAAGCAACAAAAAAGGTGCTCACCTTTATTTATATCTCATAATGTCCGTAAAATTAATATTTGTCTATAACATAAATATCACCCAAAAACTCGCCCACAAGATGCTCGGAAGCATGAGCACAAAACTTTACTATAAATTTTAAATTAAATTTGGTTGGTTTCACATCTGCCACCTGAGATTGAACAAAAAAAGTTGTATGAAATTTAGTTTTCATGGAAGAATGACAAGCAATTGTGAAAATTGTATTTCAAAAGCCCGTCAACACGTACATGCCCTCATGAAGCGCTTGTCACGACTAGGTTTTTATTTTCAAGAACATCAGCGTTTCCAACTATTTTTGAGACATTAGCAAGGTGCAACCACTACTTGCAATTTGCTTTTATATTCTGCGTGCTTAAAGTTAACTCATTGGATTTAGACCTAGTTCGATGCCAACGCAACGATACCGCAGTATAAATCAGTACTTGGCAGGGGGAGATTTCAGTTCGCAGTCGACAACCTGAGGATCGCGGCCAACTGATAAAAGAGGAATGCTCCTTGAGGAATGAAAGTGGTGACCCAACCTTTTTCAGAGGAAGCCAAACATCATAATATCGGCATCACTTCCTGTAGCGAGAGTCTGGTGGATAAAATCAAAGCTGGTGAGTACCCGACGTTGGAAATTTGAGGGACTATAATTGTACTATGCTTGAAATAAGAGCTCACAAACACGATGAACCACAGACTCACAAGTGGAAAATCAATGGAGTCAAATTGGAAGCATTCCCCGGAAATCTGCGGCTGGCCCTATAGAACACAAAACTAAATGATTACAAGGCTCCAGCTATTGGAAAATATAGTCATGACAGCATATGACAATACCTTCGTTGTGATCCATAAAAATGGTAAAGTGAGGGATGGAAAGTTTTGGTGGAACAATGGAGTAGCATAAAAAAGAAAAGGTATCGTAATTGTCAGCCGTAGAATGCCAAGAAAACACAGAAAGTGTCAAAGATCTAAAAATCCTCATACTGTTAACAGACGACGCGACATGTGGGGTCAAGCACTGAGAACGGCAGTGTCTCCGAAGAGGTGGAAGGAGGCTAGTCTGGTTCTCAGCCCCAATCCAAGCCCAACAAAGAATGAGAAAACTTGAACTTTGGGATGCAATCGAAAGTGTTAGCAGGAACGAAAAAACTCTTCATGAAAGATTTTTAGCTATTTATGAGACCTACAGAATGAGACTACACGTAAATAGATCCGACTAACAACAAAAAAGTTTTGGCCGAAAACCGAAGCAAAATGCAGGTTTTGGCACTTGTTGGTAGTGACACGATGGATTCTCGCAGATATTTCAAATCCTTCAAACTCATAGGATTCTTACTTCTAAATAACCACAACAACATTGGAGTAGATTGGTCAGGCAGTTTTTGAGAATTTCTAATTGTTTATCCCAAAGACCTGTTTTCCAGCCATCAGTTTATTGAACAATGTACAGACTTACTTCAAAGGGCACTTTATAGCAAAATACACTAGTTTAACTTGCGGATATGAATCGCAAACCCTTCCGGAAAATAAATGTTATTTTCATGCAAAAAAGGATGGGTCACGTTTTTTCTTCTAAACATGTACTTGTGAGTAACTCGCAAAAAAAGATGCCGGACACATCCGATTTGTTTTAAAATGTGTATGGTAACGTATGTTTTCCGAATATTGTAGCGCATTCGATCAATTACTCACAAATACGAAATGTTTAAATTTGTTCAGAAGAAAAAAACGTAACCTTTGTTTTTCGCATAAAAATAACATTTATCTTTTGGCATAGTTTGTGATTCATATCGGCAAGGTAAACACGTATATTTTGCTATTCAATGCTCTTTGAGCCAACCCTGTTTATTGCTCAATAAACTAGTAGTGATGGCTGGAAAACAGATGTTTTTGGATAAACAATTAGAAATTCTCAAAAAACTACTTGACTAATATAACCCAATTTTGTTGTTATTATTTAGTATGACTCCTACGGATTTTCAAAATTTCAAATAGTAGCGTGAAATTATCGTGGCATTACCAGCAACTGCCAAAACCTGCATTTTGCCTCGTTTTTCGGCCTTGACAGTTTTGCTATTAGTCGGATCTTTTTGCGTGTGGTCTCATTTTGTAGGTCTCATAAATACCTAAAAGTCTTTTATGAAAAGTTTTTTCGTTCCTGAAAACATTTTCGATTAAATCCCAAAAACACGTTTTCTCTCAAAAATTGGTGTACACATTTCAAGCATCCATGTTTTAAATATCCCCTTGACCAACTTGCACCAATAAAACCGTGCTTTACAATTATTTCGGGGAAATTTACTATTATGATTGGAGGAAAAGGATGGACTGTCTGTCGCACAATATGTATTTACAAAGGGAAGGTCCATCATAAACGTACTTTATTGCGGTGGTACAGCTAGACTTTCGGCATATGGAAGTGTTATGAATGCCATATAGATATAACAAAATGGGTTGAAATTAGCTTCTGAGCGAACTGAATGTCAGAAGCTAACCTTATTGGCTGTTAGGGTTAGGTGATAGAATATTTTCGTATCGTTAGTCGTTCCTACAATTGTAGGACGCCTTTATGACTTTGATTTTCATAGTATTTTCTCTCTTTCAGAAATACTGGGGTATTTCTTGATTTCTGCTTTTCCGTGTCAGCTCAGCGCTCTCCTATTGGAAAGTTATGTCTTTTTTTTGAATTGTAGAAAATTTCAGGCTGATAAAATAGTTGATATAGATCAAAAGCATGAACAATTTGATGCAAATAGATATTTGTGACAAAACCTCAAAATAGAATGCTGACACGGAACTGTAGAAAACTATAAAAATCAAGGAGGCCATAAAGGTGTCCTACAATAAATTGTAGAAACGGCGAACGATACGGCCCTAACTGTCAGACGCTGAGTTACCACCCGGCGGATATCTAAGGCGGGTCCAAAATACCTGCATGTTGCATGCACACGTGTTCCCTCCCTAGTCCGTGTGACGTCCTCTCTTTCCCCTGTATCCTAATATACGAAACGAAAAAACTTTTCATATGCGATTTTTAGGTATTTATGAGACCTACAAAATGAAACCACATGAGCTCATAAGGTGCAGTACTGATAAAGTGAATCAGGTAACACTAGTGAGAGGCTTAGAATTTTGTTACTGGTGGCAAACCCTATTACGCTGTAAAGAGCTCTAAAGATTCTACAAAATTCAAGATGAGGCCTGTACATAAGGAGCCCTTGAGGAAAAAGAAATATGAAGCAGCTAAATTTTAGCAGCCAAAGAAAGGTAGTCTCGCATGTGGCGACGAAAGACAGGCATTTTTGTTAGATGATGATGATGATGTTAGATAGCAAGAGACATCGGATGCAGCTGGTCAAGATGTGAGAACTAGGAGGCCAATTCTAGATATTAAAACGACACAGTTGTTCAAAGAACGTAATTGTTGTCACAGCTACATGAAGGCGTAAGGAAAGAGAAAGTAGGCGAACTGTTTATATTGCAACGAAGAGGAAGATACTACATGTCATCTGCTTGGATGTGGTAGATGACTTGACCACCAGGCTGCCGATTTTGCCAGCGATGTAACCGAGTGCAAATGGGTTGACGATCAACCAATTATCAGTCGGATAATGTTGAACAAGGTACAAGGTGATAAAAGCAAACCTAGGAACCAACAATACATTTCTACATACTGTGTTGTACATATACATAAGAATAAGAGAACTTTGTGTCTATGATATGAAAACTTAAAGCAACGGTACCAACCACGACGAAATGCCACAAGCACTATTCTGGTGGGATGTGAGCGGAGGCTTTTGGTGGATATGCCGATATCTCAACTATCTCCTGGTTACCACTGATAGCATAACCCTCATACATAACCTTTGAAGCAATACCAGGCTTTGCACGCTTGGACCTTACGAAGTGCCAATAGGTAATCCGATCAGTGTTGACATTATTTTCAATTTTCTCATAATATGCCTGACATAGTTGTGCAAATTGGTACCTGATTGTGGTCCTTACCATTATTCTACTTTTTCAACCTTCAAGCTAGCTTTATCTGTTTCAGTTTGCCTGTATTGACTATTCTTTAATTTAATGGTTCTCTTCAATGCCAAAAAAAGTAAACTGGATAATTGCTACCATTATAAAAGGCCCTATTCACTGCTTTTTTCTGGTTATCGCTTGGTCTAAGCATCTATAAACCTTTTCATAGAATAAGTGAGCATGTACTAAGTATTCACATCTTTAGCTTCTTGAAGCTCTGAACAGTCGACATTTTCTGTATAGCTCATAGAAATCTCCTTTAGAGTTCCAGTTTTACTGTAAACATGTACATAAATGATACCGACATAATCATCATCAGGGCACGATTGTATGGATCTTGTTAATTTTCAACTCATCTTCAACGAACTCCGGGCACTATTATGAATTTCGCATAGTAAAGAGCTTGTTGCACTCCAAGTGCAGTTAGTAGTTGAGCTACTACTGCGCCTGATTTCCTGTTAGAGAGCTAGCCGACTGAAGAGCTGAACTCAAGAGCTGGCGCCTCAGTTGTCTGTCGACCGCTGTGGAGAGACGACAGTGCCGTCCGACGAGTTGAATTCACCCGCGCTTACGATACGCGCTGACAGAATGCCGGCTTTTTTGCATCTCTAGTTTGACATTTCCTTACTGAAAGGGATCTGATCTTTTTTTTCATTTACTGGGTGTGTCATAGGTGGACTAAGAGTCTGACGTGGTAATATACTTGTAGAAAGGTGTTGTGATTGGAATTGACTGAATGATATGTGTTTGGTGTTGTGATTTTGGAGTTTCAAGAATGACAGCAAACATGGATATCTTCTTTCTGGTTTTCATCTTAGCCGGAGCATTCAGTATTACTAAAGGTACTCTCTTTGTGACTTCTTTGTATGGAAGACAATTATTGGGATACGATTTTTTTTATAGAGGTTAGAAGTCTTTTGGTGTGAGGGTTTAAGGCATACATCATTTCGTGTACGACACTTTTGAGCCTAATGTTAAGTTTCCAGGAAATGTAGTATACTGATCAAGCGCATGATTATTCTATAAAATTTTGTTTAGGGTGAGTTAAACTCCGAGATTGAGAGCACTACACTTATCTGCAAATATACTTTTGAGGTACATGGAAGATGTTACCTGTTTTCTGTTACTTATTTTGGGTGGTCAGAAGTTTTATTTAGCGCTCCATCAAAAATAATGTCGAAACTTTTAACGATGGAACACATTGTGTACACTCACAATACGTGTAATCCGACTTAAACAAAAAGGTTTTTTTACAAATATACTCTGATCTCAGCCACCCATGTTTTTATGTGTTTCCGCCTTTATTATTTTTAACATTGGTTCTTGTTCCATACAAACTGGAGTTTACGTTATTTAAATAAAAATTGCATTGTTCCGTTTTTTTCGGACATTGTTGTTGCTATAAGATGCATCAAAAATGCAAAAGGTCCGACATTTTTTATATATTTGTAGTTAACAGAAAGTTCCGAAGTTTGAAGCTCAAAATTACAATCTCTGAGAACCATTTTTATAATTTTTTCAATGAATTTTCACCAATTTAGTGGTCAAGATCGATTTGAGTGGTATAAGTCTCCAGGCTGTTTTTAAAATCCGACTAAGCCCATTACTTTGCACCATCCTTTCTTAGTTCTGTGAAAATCGTTACGAATGTCCCAGATATGTCTGTAGGAAATAATATTTATTTTAACTTCGTGTAATCTAATGCAAGGCAACGGAAATTATTGGGCAAAACATAACCTCAAAGACTCTAGTAGATGTTGACATGGTTTACGCAAGGTGTAAGAACACAAAGGGATGGCGTACCACTAGAACAACAATATACAAAATCATAACGAAAATACAGAAGTTGCCACCGTAGGAGCGGGTTACGTTGTTCATGTTAAGATTAGAACAACCGAAGCCTTATCCAAGATTTGCTAGACATCGGAAGACATACAGTGCGTCAAAAAAGTATGGGTACACCATTTTCTTTCTTAAATCTCAATAACGCAGGGATACATTTTTTGATACTAGATTTATCTGAAAACTAGCCACAATTGATTGAGCAAATTAAAAATAATATAACAATAAAAAAGAAACTATGAAATTGAAAAAATATTGGCACACTAAAACAACAAACAAAGTGTCACTTCATTTGCCGTTAGTACTTTATCAAACAATTTGCACCAAGTATGACCTGAAGCCATCGTGGCATGGAAATTCTAAGATCTGGTGAAATTTGGTTGCATTCTTCCATCAGAACATCTTGTAGCTGTCGTTTGGCAGAAAATTTACTATTTCGGCCCCTTGAGTCCAGCAAGTACCATAGATCTTTAATTGACGATTGCGGTGGAGCTTTGAGTTGTGTAGGAACATTGTAAAGAAACCATTCCCGGGCTTTAGTTGCGGTCTGCTGGCGATCGTTATCCTGCTGAAAGATCAACGTATCCCTGACCTCTATTCTTTTCATTATTGGTGTTCAAGTTACGTGTTATATACTTGTCTGCATTCATAACAGCTTTGATGAAGCTTAGCTTTCCAACACCATTCCACGTCATGCAGACCAAGAACAAAATGCTCTTGCTACCATATTTCACTGTTGTGCTAGCATGTCTCATTTCCAATTAAGTATTAAATATTTGGGACCATCACAGCCGAAATTTTGAAGATCACCGTAAGAACAAGATTTCGACTCAGATGGTGGAAAATATATATGGAAAACACCTAACACTTAATTTGAAAGTGAGACATACGTTATAGTAGAGAAGATTTACCCCTACCACTAAAGAAGAGGATCGAGTTTCCCTGGATCAGCGCTTTGCCTTATCCAGTCTTATTTTAGAGGAGAGGGTATAAATATGGGCTAGGCGGGGAATATGGGCTACGTTGATATTTCTGATGCACCTAGAGTCATCTATCGAGTAATGTATCAATTAGATGCTCTTTAGAGACCTAACCGCCTGCTGATCACAGAATTCTTCTTTTCACATATGCAATTCAGTTTCGTGTGATTTGGTCTTTATCAGTGTTTATAAGTTTTGCAGTGGTGGTTATTTGTCGCTGTAACCAAGTAGGCTTTAGAATTTAACTGGATTTTTATAGCTTACAATTGAAAATAAGGTTCGTATTTTTAGATTTTGTTTTTAATTTTACCCAGATATAAGATATAAAATATTTGTGGAGTTTCAAACTTTTTGGAGGTTATGTGCAATATGGGCTGGTATTACGTTTGTAATATGGGCTAGCCCATATTTGTAACAGTAGTAGAAATCATGAACCTTGTTTTAGAATGCCACGCAGAAAAGCTATTGTTAGTCCCAAGTTGAGCGCCAAGAAACGGAAGACATGGGATGTAGACCATATGAAAAGGGCTGTTCAAGCGGTAAGAGAAAAAACTATGGGTACTCTAAAGGCAGCTAAAACTTATGGCGTTCCAAGAACTACAGTGCAGCGATTGGCCAAAATAGACCATCTTAGCGTGGAGGAGGCTGTTCAGATCAAATTAGGGCGAGGTACAGTTTTGACTCCAGAATTGGAAGAATCATTAGTTCGCTATATTCTTGAAATGGAAGCCAAGTTCTATGGTTTAACCCGCAAAGACGTTAAACGTATGGCATTTTACTTAGCAGAAGAAAACGGCATAAGGCATCCTTTTGGGAATACACAAACAGCAGGAAGGGGCTGGTTAGATCTATTTTTGCAAAGACACAAAATTTTGTCGGTTAGAAAACCTACTGGGACATCATTTGCACGTGCCAAAGGGTTCAACAAAGAGAGTGTGGACAACTTCTTTACACTTTTGGAGAAAGCATATGAAGACCACAATTTCCCAGCTAATCGCGTCTTTAATGTAGATGAGACTGGTCTAACTGTTGTGCAAAATAAAGTGGCTGAAGTTGTTGGTCGTAAGGGCAAAAAACAAATTGCATCTTTAACATCATTAGAAAGGGGGTCTTTAATCACTTTGATTACCTGCATGAATGCAGGGGGAGACTTCGTTCTACCGATGCTCATATTTCCTAGAAAAAATATGAATGTGCAATTAATGAAAGGCACTCCTCCAGGATCAATATCAGCAGTTCACCCAAGTGGATGGATTCAGGCCTCATTATTCGCCCAGTGGTTCGAACATTTCATCAACACGGTAAAACCAACTGCATCTTCACCTGTTCTTCTAATTTTAGATGGACAGAAAATCATGTTTGCATAATCTCATTACCCCCTCATTCAACACATAAATTGCAACCTCTTGACAAAACTTTCATGGGTACATTAAAATCTTACTACAGCGAAGAGATTAGACAATGGATTCGTCATAATCATCGTCCCTTAACCCAATATGATATGGGCGAACTTTTGGGAAGGGCTTATCTCAAAAGTCAGACTGGAGAAATCGCCGTAAAAGGATTCCGCGTTACTGGAATTTTTCCGATTAACAGGAATATTTTTTCCGAAGTGGACTTTCTTGCAGCCGAAATAGAAAAAGGAACAGAACACTGTACCGCTGAAAATGACTTCGATCAGAGCACACTGGGCACATCTCAATCAGATCTAGAGCCTCCTAGTCTAGACAACGTTCAACCCGGGCCAAGTGGTAAATTTCAATCTGATGTAGAGCTACTCAATCACGACAGCGTTCAGCCTGGACCATCTGGGATCAAAAAAAAAATGGTGACTCCCTTCGATATTTCACCAGTTCCGATCTTAAAAAAAAAACAAGTAATAGGGGTAGGAAAGCATCACAAGCAGCAGTAATTACTTCGTCCCCTTACAAAGATGAATTATTGTTGAGCACTGCCAATAAAAATAAACAAAAGATTAAATCTATTAAAAAAAAGGTGTTTTCTCAATCAACCAAAAAGAGATCGTCCATATCTTCGAAGGAGAATAAAAAGCAGCAATCTTTAGGAGAATCTGAAAGTGATGACGATGAAACAGAGCTGATGTTAGCAGATGATGACTTAGATTTGGATGATCTGCCTGGACAAAAGGAACCAGATGATTTAGATGCGGAATGCATCTTTTGTGAAAGTAAATTTTCCGAAGACCGCAAAGGAGAACTATAGGTTCAATGTTTAATGTGCAATATGTGGTGTCATGTCGATTGTGCAGGTGCTGATAAAGATGATTATGTTTGTGACTTTTGTCGCACTGGATAATATCTAATGTGTTCTTGCCAACTGCTTCTGTTTTTTCAAAATTTTGCTCTTGAATAAAGCTCTTAGTTACCATGTGTAGGTATTTTTTCTGGTAGCCCATATTTGTATCACTATCTCAAAATCTTTTATGATGCCAATTTTATTTAAACATATAAAAAATCGAATAAGGTTTATGTAAAAAAAATAAAAACTGACAGCATCATGTTAGATTAGATTCAGCTTATCCGAGAAAAAAAAAGTTGAGCCATATAGACCAAATATGTGTCAAATATGCCAATTAAATAAAATGGTAGCCCATATTTATACCCTCTCCTCTATTGTATTCGCAGTTAGTCAGTCGGCTGTTAGCGCTCAAACTATATACATCAATAGAATTGTATTTTGATAATCGAGAATAAATCTTTTTAAAAAACAAGTAGACTGACTCGGTCAGATAATTCATATCTGTCCAACAGTGGAACAGGGTGACGGGGGCGTTTTAGTCTGGCACTGCATGTCGTGGACTGGTATTGAAAAGCTAAGCTTCATCGGAAGCATTATGAATGCAGACAGGTATGTTGACATTTTGCGCAATAACTTGAACAGCAGTGAAAAAAAATGGAGATCAGGGGAACATTTTTCTTTCAGCAGGATAATGATCCTAAGCACATCGCCACTAAGTCGAAGAAACGGTTACAATAGAACGTTCCTGCACAATTTCCCAACCCCTGGATATCAATCCCATAGAACATTTGCGGTACCTGCTGAACCTGAAGGCCCAAGAGATATAATTTCTGCGAAGCGACAGCTACAACATATTCTTATGCAGAAATGAGACCAAATCAAACCAGAAACTTAGAAATTCCAAGCAGCGATGGCTTCATGCCATAATGGATCTAAACGGTAGGATAACAAAGTACTAGCTGTAAATAAATTTTGTTAACACTTATTTACCTTTCTTTCAGTGTGCCAATACTTTTTTGATGCTTGAATTTCATAATCTTTTATATTATTTTTAATTTGTTCAATCTGTTGACATTAAGAATTACGATGTTAGTAACGAAAAATTGATCTTTACGTTATTGAGATTCAAGAAAAAAATTTGGTGGTTCAAAACTTTTTTGACAGACTGCAGATACAACTTTCTATTATCTTCAAATTTCAAACAACAAACCTGCTAGCAAAACATCATTGCATACTGTTTTCATTGAACCGAATCGCTCTGAACAATGTGACAACCTGATAATTGGGTCGTATTTATCTGGGTTAAGCATGCACAGCTGTTGATTGTATTACCAATATATCCAATTACCGAACAAAGATAAATCCTTCTTAGAATATACCTTGTAGATCGTCGATACCCCTATAACTGTACATGAGCCTCAATTCGAACGAACGCGTTTGATTACATTAAGAAAATGACTAAAAAAGCAGATTAACAAGTATAATATCTTGTTTTTAAGCTCAGAACAATACAACAGTTTTATCAATAGACCCATAAATCTCGCTTTGTGCCCGTCTGATTAAAATAATGTTGATTTAAACGCACACTCCATTCAAACATTGGCGTATGGAAAGGAGAAGCTTAGGGATTTCATGGGTATGTGGACAAAAAAGTGTCAGTTGAAACTTCTTGTATGTAACTCAGGATATAAATATAATTTCGAGTATCTTGGTCGGCCAAATAAACAATACAACGTTAAAAAAAATTGAATTTCAGGCAAACAGCTTTTTTTTCTTATTAAACTAATCGTGTAAAATTTCGCGTAGGGCCTAAGAAATCAATTAGCTCTGCGGTAGCTTACAGATTTTGAGAAAAACTTGTCTTCAGTCCTTTTGCGGACGTTCTCTGCATTATGGAAACAAAATTTATTCTGCCTGTGAGTTATCATATAGTTATTTACATTTTCGGGCCCTACGCGGAATTTTGCATGACTTAGTTTAGTAACAAAAGAGAAATGTCGAAATCGAAAAACCTTATATACAATGGAAGTCCTAGAAGCAACAAGTGTATCATCCACATTGTCACATTTGGATGGAACAAAGTGATACAGGATATTAGTGGCAAAAGGTAAAATGACTGATTCATGGGTTTTGTTTTCAGAAGGTATTTTATTTTATCTTATTTAAAAAATGTAGGAACATTTCCTACCTATAATAAATTAGGAAATTTATTTAAAACTATAATTTCGTATATATTATATGAATAAAAATGGATACTTATATTTATACCGTTTATAATTAGTGAAGAGCCACTCTTACAGGCGTTGCACATATCCCACCAACCTAGTTAAATTACGATTTGCCTACATTGTATACATGAATTTTATGACGTATACAACACGTATTCCATACGCCCATACAATTTTTGTATTTTACATGGTGTATACAAGGCGTGCATCACTGGTTATGGAATTCGGCAGTAGCTACGGAAAATCTCTCAACGAATAAAGCTAGTTCTGCCAGAGTAACAACGCTTCACAAATATATGTTTTTTTTAATACATTGACAGACTAGACCTTTTCTTTTTGAAATGACTTGAAGGCCCCGTTACGCCTATGCAATCCTGGGCATAATACACATGAAATTAATTTAACTAATAAATAATAAATTTACATGCATTAGGGACAAAGTAAGAGAGTGTTTTATCTTTAACAGCGAGTTACACTAAAAAGGTAATACATTTTACGTGTTGGCACGTCTGCAAGTCTGCGTGGCGGCAATCAAATCGAGCCCGATAAACATAGCATGCAGACAGGGATGTTGACTCTTCGGTATCACATGAGTAAAATGTGTTTTTTCTGCTCTTTGGGATTAAGTATGAAATTGTAATAAGCATAATATGATTTTAAGATCGAACTTTATATGCAAGTAGTATTTTTATGGTTTCCATGTAATTGGGCATAAAAAGGACTTAAGTTTTGTGAGAATCATTAGTGCACTGATGAGAAACAAATCCTCAGGGTGCAGCAATGAGCGTGTCGTACAGTAGCCTCATTTCTTCAGAAGTCTGGTGTGAAACTTTTTCTCGATAATGTTTGCCATCGGATTATAATAGTTCTTGACACTTGCTTATATACTATATAATAGTACCTGAACAAATCAAGTTATCTGATAAAATTATACTCCAAACATAATGCTCGTATATATGTATTTAGATAATATCGCATCCACCTCGTAACTGCATATCGCATCACCCGCTACCTGCTTCCTTTCGCGAGGGATCTAGCAGCGCAGCTATAGCTCGAGACAGAGAGGACCGGCGATGCAGTCATACGTCGATCGGGTTTGCTGCACAAAGGAAGATATGCGACCAAGACACGGTCTGCGTCTGTATTAACTAAACCTACGGGGAGATTTCTGATGTGTGAAATATATCTAATAGGTGCGTAGAGTTTCCGGGATTGGAAGTGTAAATTTAAAAAAATGCGATGCACCCTCCCTCTCCCTTGTATAACCTCGCACCCCCCGTTTTAAAAAAATATAGCATTTTTTTTTTCGTTTTTTTAATCTTTCTCCGCACCACTAAACTGATTTTCAAAAACTACAAAACTTTTGAGTTACTAATATCGTAGTAACTTCGTGTTGAAATTTCGTCCAAATCCGAGCAGTGCTGTCCAAGTTATATAGGTATAGACCGGCGAAGAATTTGCGAATGGACAAACCGACAGGCAAACCAATCAATCCATCAATTTCAAAGATTTACTTTATTTAGATTATGTTATATGATACCTTTGGCTTATATACAGGGTGTCCGAAAAATAGACGGATATATTTTAGAGGGTTCTTTGTTAATAAATATGACAAAAAGTTTACATAAACATATATAAAAAATTATTAATAGATATTTAAAAAAATATTTACTCGATTCTGTTCTTTTTCAGAAATATTATTTGTTGCATTGAGAAGCTAGTCTAGCCCTAAATAGGTTGAAATTATTAGGTCTACCTTAGCGAATATTATTGGCAAAAAAATGTACGATACTGAAACTAATAATTTTAATCTATTTAGGGCGAAACCAGCCTCTTAATACAACAAATAATCTATCACCGTGTATCCTGAAAACTCTGCATTTCCGGTCCCATGTTTATGGAAATTTTTTCATTTTTTTAGCAGGGAATCACACTCTAAAATATCTCCGTCTATTTTTTGAGCACCCTGTATAAAGAGCAGGCGTGGGTAGTGAAAAATGTGATATGCATAATCTTAAAACTATGAAAACCTTTAGATTACTTGACAGAAGTAACGCATGTGGGACAGGTTATGCTGAGCTGCACAAGTCAGCAGATTCAGTCAATAGCGAGCGATATTCACCAACTGAACTAAGCCATACTTAGGCAGTGCTAGCTCGCAGCAGTTTGGTGCGATGTACGTATGTGCTATTTTGCTTCCTTTGACGTTTAATGACGTGATCAGTAATTGACATATTTGTTAGTTTATAACCTTAAATAGGACCTCTAACCTAAACAGCCAACTCATTCTAGTTTGTTTTACCTTATCTAACAATGATTTCTATCAAGGAAGGTGAGTTCACCAAAACATATTCCAAGTTGTGGTCAACTATAAATTAATAAATTCATTTGACAATTTATATATATATATAAATATTATTGATTCAAAATTAATTTAAGTGGCAGATGCTGATTATTCTGCTTTAGAAAGTCTAAGTGCCTTGCGGTATTAAAAATGACTAAACCCTTCCACTAATTTTTATAGTGACTAGAACCGTAGAATAACTAGCTTACAGTTTTAAGTTGATGCTAATAAATATCAACAGCGACGGCACCATAACTATAATTTTATGTATGTTTTGTTATGTCTCACTTTTCAGATAGCCCTGCTCACGTCAGTAAATGAAACTTCCATACCCATTGGTCTAGGTAGATAATCAGAATTTACGTCCATTCAGGTGTTTGAATAGTATAATAAGGTTAAAAATACCTACGACAGTTTATCGATTATTACTGTTGCTATCTCTATGTTCTGGATGTACACATCGACAATAATTTATCGATCTGTACGGAGAATTAAGCTTATCAATATTAATGCAGGTCAGTTCCAGGTCAATAGACAACTGTGTTATGTTTTTTATGCTATAGTTTATGAATCAGCCTGGAAATATGTATTTATTCTGAGCGCGATGTCCCAGATTCCTTTATTTTTAGCCATTATATCCTGTAGGTATAGACAGATATATAGATATTTTATTTGTCCACAGATCAGTCAAAGCGGCAAACTATACACTACTTAACACAGTACATATTTCATGCACATTTTGAACATACACTGAAGTGGGACTAGCGCAGCATTCAGGAGTAGTTTCCTCTAGTTAATGTAACATCTGAAACACATTCAGAGGTTTTCATGCTGACAAAACTTTGTAGTTGTCATGCTGCATACAACCGCATACATGCCTAGCAGCAATAAAATCAGACTGTACGTGGCCCGCCTTATCAGCTTTTTGGTAAATATTAAAGAAAACTTTATACCTTTCTTGACAGTAAATTTTTCACCTTACTATTGCTTATATGGTCAGTTAATTAGATATTTTTTATAATATGGAAAAACAGCAGCACGGCATAAACCGGGGTTTTGTCAACTTTTGGGCAAAATACTCTAAATAACCTAATTTTTCCTTCTAACTTGCCATTTGTGAAAATTGTATAAAATATGAAAATACCTCCTCATAGGAACCCCCAAAAACGTTATATTATTATCATCAAATAAACATGCATTGGATGTATAAATATACCAAGGATTTCTATAAATTGTGACAAAGTGCAACTGCCTTGAGGCTAGTTCACACTCATTGCCATATATTCACCAATGTTGTTTAGTATTTTGTTGATATTTAATATGTGATCACTTGGTGTCGTGCTACGAAAAATAGTCCACAACGTAT